CTTACAAATCAACCATTTGGGACGGCAGAACGATATAATCAAGCAACTCAGCTAGCTTCTATCCGCTCCAACGCAATATGCTAGAAACACGCATCAATCCAATACGAATCACATTGTAGAAGCTCCAAGAAATACTAAGGACCATGCTATTTGCCTCAACGAACCATAAAAGCAGAGGGATCAGGCTACAGCAGCTATCGAGGTGTAAAGAAACCGATAGTGGGACCGTTGACGGGAACGAAAGCTGTCACTGTTTCATCACAAGTGCCCGCCATCTCTGGACAATCTGCTCAACGTACAACGCGTACCGTGCCACGGCGAAGACCATATCCAGTCAGGACTATTACCAACGAGTCACCACACCGTCAACGGCCCGTGGTGTCAAAGTCGATGCCTTACATAAAGCTTCATTAAAACGGTTATACTTTTGAGGATCAATGTTTGTATTAATTGAGACAGCATCAAGGAAGGGTCTCCAAGCATTTTTATATTGATAATGTGAAAATCATGATGAACGACCTAGCCCCAGAGTTGAGCAGGAGGAAACGAGCGGCTTGGGGAACGTTTAAGAGCATCGAAGATGTAGTGAAGAGGACAAAGAACATCCAACTCCGTGCCCACCTTTTCGACTCGACAATTATCCCTGCCCTAACGTATGCAGCAGAAACCTGGTCGCTACGTAAGCAGGATGAAAGATCACTTACCGTTATCGAACGCGCAGCTGAAGGTCGTGCTAGAAGTATCCCGTATCACGCAAATGAGAGAAAGGATCCGAAGTTCCGACCTACGTCAACGATCGAAAATCAGAGACGCCGTTCTACGCGCCAGGATATCGAAAATAAGGTGGGCAGGACATGTGATGCGCTTCAACGACAACCGATGGACGAGAGCCGTTACCGACTGGATTCCTCGGGACGTCAAGCGCTCTAAAGGAAGACCACTGACCCGTTGGTCCGATTTCTTCACGAAAGCGATGGAAGAAAGATATGATGCTCAGCGAATCCCTAGAGCGAGGAGGACCCACTGGGCTAGTCTTGCACGCGATAGGGAAAAATGGAAGAGTTGCTGGTACCCGCTCGAGTCACTCGACGATCAACGGGACGACAGGTGATACAGGTGAATGTGAAAATCGCAATTGTCAAAAGGTAGCTGAGCAGTCAGATGATGATGCCAAACTAGTCCATGATGCGACGTAGTTTAATGATAGTTGGCGAAGATCGATGTTAGACACATCTTCTTCCCATTAATTTCTATGAACGGCCCCCTTCATTTTCTTTCTACCTGATTGCTTTAACTTTATGTGCTTCAATTGATTTTGCTTGCTATCGTATGTGCAGGTAGTTACTTTGGCTATGTTTTTTTCCAGCCATAGACCATTTATTCTTTACTTGCGCATTTCTAGATGTATTTTTGTTCCTCAAAGATTGCTTAGTAATGATAACATGTCAACGCTTCGCATAACGGTTATGGTGGCTTTGTCAAGACTCAAATAAATTATAACCGTAATTAAGCAAGCTATGGAGTGCATTTTTAAATCACAAAAACTCGCACATCTGAGCAAAATGGGTACGAAACTAAGCCACTCGTCACACACATATGCAGTCGTTTTTCAGCAAATGAAACTTCCGGATTAGGTTCACGCAATAACTCATCATCCAGAAATGAACTTATGACCTCGAATTACGGTCTCTTTTGTCGTCAAGATAAATCAGGAACCATAAGAAGAGTGAAATTAGAATCGAGAGTGGACCAGATTCGAATCTATCAATTCGAAGCCAGCAGAAGAATTAATGGTAGCCAACATCGTCTCGGGAACGGTATAAAAAGGATAAGACCAGTGGAGATGACTTCATCGTCGCGTCGTCATGTCTGCGGAACTACCTCGTCCGCTTAGCGCCCCCTCGCCAACCAGCACTATATGATGCCCCACAGCCCAGACCTTCAAGATGTACGAGATATCCCAGAGGCTGAGACAATCCCGAGGAGTCCTGGAATCTTGGGAGCCACCACGAGAATACCTAGAAGACCAGGACGACGATGTTTTATGACCTCCTGTGCCTTAGTTTAATGTTTCTACTTATTGACGATTTGTTTTCCCATGTTTGTCGATCGTTCTCCTCATTAGTTATTGTTTATATTGCATAAGGTTGTACCTTTGTTATTATTCGTTATTTTAGTAATGTTGTTAATCAAATGAAGGTTTAATTACCCACGTTTGAGGTAATCGCAAAGCCACTGTTGGCCGAACGTCCACAACTCATTCAAAAAACCAATCCACTAAACCGCCGCTACAAAAATTGTGGTGCATCGGCCGGTGATGCTATCTTCACTCCTCCACTAATGCATTCTAACTGCCCGATGCTTGTTGAAGCATCTGCACATTGGTTTGTCGATAGAAGTAAGGTCAACAAGCTGAGAATCATTGAAACATGGATAATTTGAGCGAAGTATATGAGATCTCCGTAGTTTATCTGTTTCTTAGGTCGCAGACGATAATTACCTTTTCGTGTGTCTGTGCCGGTGGGTTTCTCCGTAGGCAACTTGTCGATAGGTTCACTTCTCTTTCGTCTAGATTGTGGAGATTGTACTTTAGCCGCTTCTAGCGGTGGTATGGTGTTAAAAATAAACCCATCGATATAGAGTGATGTGCCAAAAAATTGCGCCAGTGGGAACTCGAACCTACATCGTACTCTATCCGAGAGCGCGTGCTGTAATCCGTTGCTTACCGATCCCGTTTTGCTCACCACTCTTTCTACGCTACAGCGCATCTATCTGTCAGCAACCGACCGTCAATGGCCAGATACAGGTGGTCGCTACCTACAATGAACGCAGTCACGCGGACAGATATTGGGTATTTGATGATCGAATGGGATTCATTTTTATTTGACCACTTCTAACGGTGGTATGACACCTGGGCTACACCGCTGACGGTTGGCTGCGGACAGATAGATGCGTTGTAGCGTAGGAAGAGTGGTGAGCAAAAGAAGCGTCATGAAAGGGGCAACTGGTTAAAGTACGCCGCTCCTGGACAGGTAAGATGCGGGTTCAAGTCCCGGCCGACGCGAAAATTTTGCACGTCAGTCTACATCACTAGGTATGTTTACTGAAACAGTTATGAAACGTTAGCCGCCACTATGTAAATATTTTGTCTTCACTAGATAATCACTAGAAACAACTTCGTGTTTACTAACAAAAAAAAACAGACATTCTCGATTCGTGGCGAAATCGATCGATAACTTGCTGATCTTCGGTCAAGTTACTTCTCAAACAGTCGTCGCAACTGTAGTCAATATCCGCCTGCTTTCGCGGACTTACTGATCTGTCGATTCGGTGAGCAATCGACAATCTCGAGTCTATATTCTATCCTTACTCTTCCTTTTCTCATCAATCACGTTCTCTTCGCACGATTCCATCATCAATCGCCTCATTACAATGTCGAATTTCGTTCTAATTTCATATGAAACGAGGAAACAGAAGAAACAAACCACCTGCTCATGTTGAAGAAACGGCTCACAATTTTCGAGCTCGCATTAGTTGACAGTGCATTATTACATGGGTGGAGGGGAGCGGGGGGCGGGGGAGGGAGGGAGGAGTGAATATTTTTAGAAAAGAAAATCGGAAGAAGAAGCAAGGTGCAAAATAGAAAATGTAATTTGTAAAATAGGGACAGCGGCGCCGTCGCCGAGTGGTTGTGACGCTCGTCGCCGTGCGCATAGAGCAGAGTTCCATCCCCTTCCCCCAACTCTCTCCGGCAGTCAACTACAACGCCTTATGGAGCGCTACAGCCAGAGCCAGACTATCCTCGAGATTGCAAGGAGACTCGCTCAACCAGTATTCTACGGGCGTTCAAGAAGAAGACGGAACACAAGTATTGAATGCTAGAAATACTGGGATCACGCACAGTAGAGAAAAAAACACTGTGAAGACGGATCATTAAAATAATTAAAATAAAGAAATAAATAGAAATTTTGTAAAATAAAGAACGATGACAGACGGATACAAGTCTATATGGGCAGGACATGACGCACATGGACCTGACGCGACACAGCGGCACGCCGTGCTGTCATGTGGGTCCCGTCACGAATACCTGAGATGGCCGTGCTCACGTCACAGCTCACAGTCTCTCACACTCATCTCGTGGGTCCCGTCACGAATTTCGATATCACCCTACGAGTGACAGCTTCCTGCTTTTGTTTTCTTCGGAGCCTAGACTTGACTCATTTTTCAATGAGCAGGTCTGCTCCTCATCAAAAAAATTCAATGCAGGGGTAGACAGTTGGTTGGGAATTCTTTCCCATTTAACTGCTTTTAGCGGTGGTATGACGTTATAGATATACCCAGTGGTGTAGAGTAATGTGCAAAATTTTTGCGTCAGCCGGGACTCGAACCCTTATTCACCATATCCGGGAGCGCGTGCTCTGACGCACTCCACTACCGACGCCTGTTTCGCCACCACTCTTTCTACGCTACAACACATCTATCTTTCAGCAACCTACTGTCAAGGGTTTGGCCTAAGTAATCGATATCGACATTGAACCTAGTCATGCTCGCAGATATTTGGGTAATCACATGGAATTCTATTTATTTGAACCGCTTTTAGCGGTGTTATGATGTTATAGATATGTCCAATGATGTAGAATGATGTGCAAAACTTTTGCGTCAAGCGGAACTCGAACCCGCATTTCATCTTATCAAGGGGCGCGTGCTCTAACCCAGTGTACTACCGCCTCCTGTTTTGCCACTTCCGGACTGGATGGAATGCAGGTTCGAATCCCAAATGGCACATAATTTTTGCAGGACCACTCTACACATTGGGTACGACTAGAACATCATACCACCGCTAAAAGCGGTCTGAAATAAAAAGAATACTATGTGATTATCCAAATATCTGTGAGCATGACTAGGTGCAATGTCGATATCGACTATCTAGGCCGAGCCGTTGACGGTAGGCTGCTGAAAGATAGATATGTTGTAGCGTAGAAAGAGTGGTGGCGAAATAGGCGCCGGTGGAGCAGTGGATCAGAGCACGCGTCCCTCGGATAGGGTAAAATGAGGGTTTGAGTCCCGCCTGGCGCAGAAATTTTGCGGTCCCGTCTTCGCAGTGTTTTCTTTTTCACTGTGCGAATCCTTATACTTCTAGCATTAAATTCGTTTATCGTCTTCTTCTTGAACGTCGTGGAATACTGCTTGAGCACTTCTCCTTACCATCTCGAGGATAGCCAGGCTGTGGGGTTCCATAGGGCGTTGCTGTTGACTGCCGGAATGCGTTCATGGGTGAAGCTCGGTTCCACGCGCGCCGCGCTGAGCATCACAACCACTCGGCCATGGCGACCCATCTCTCATCTCTACCCTTTATAATTTCATATTTTCTATCAGTATCACACCTTAAATCTCATTTATACTGTGTCTTTGTACTTCGGCATACTGTTTTTTTTTTAAATAATAGTATTTCTACTGCATTTTTTCGCAGATGATGATGTAATGAATGAGTGGTGAGCAAAAACAGGGCCTCAGGCGGGAACCGAACCCGCGTTTCATCCTATCCGGGGACGCGTGCTCTACCACTACACCACCGAGGCACATTTGCCCGACCACTCATTGTTCAAATCTCTATGTTAGCTATCAGCCACCAACCTTTAAAAGGTTTGGTCGGATATGCGATTTCGCTTCTTAAATCCTGTTAAGCTGACAGCTGTTGAAGAATGAGTGGTTAGGCAAATGTGCCTTGGTGGTGTAATGGTAGAGCACGCGTCCCCTAATAGGATGAAACGCGGGTTCGATTCCCGCCTGAGGCCGTGTTTTTGTTTTTTTTTTCCTTCATAATTTGTCATATACTGTGGAGAGTGATAGGAGTGATGATTATGATCTTCGAATTCATCATAGGTGTGGTTCGGCTTCCTCTATTTTGTTCACGCTAATCAAAATGAATAGTGTAAACTCCGATTCGTCATCGATCGACATTAAGAACGAAATGACAGGTTTGAAAACCCCCAATACTCGGCTGCCTCGTCTCTCGCTCGAAACAGTGTCGTCCTTGACATCGTCATGTGCATCGAGTCGTTTTCGTCGATCGATTCGAACCCACCTTTCATTCGTCGTCATTCGATTCGACTCATCCTTTCAGTCTCTCAGTTCTCGTCATTACGCCTGATTCTCTCTGTGAATTTTTGAAAAATTACGAATTGTTTACGTTCTCGAAGCCGGTCCATGCCTCACCCCCCTTCCCCCTCCCCCTTTCGCTGCACGTATTCAATTGAGGAAATCAATAGCCGCCTTTTCAACCTCTCGAAGTCGTTCGTCTTGTAACTCCTGTAATGTTTCTTTTATGAGTGAACTATATGTGGCTTTAAACTGTCGTTAAAAAGAACCGTAGGTTTTTGTCTATGTTTCTAGCGGAAGAGCGCATATGGCGCAGTGGTTAGAGGTGCCGTGCGTCGCACACAAGATCGATGATCCGATCGCGCCACTCATAACCCACTAAGCCATTGATCCCTCTGGGGTCGGTAAACTGGTATCAGACTTGCCTTGAGGGATAAGCAGCACTGACTCGATACAGTGGAAGGCACTGCGAGTCATTGTAAAGGTCAGAACTGCATTCAATCAATTGGCACACGCCGGAAGCTTGGTCCTTTGTCCTTTTATTTCTAACGAAACTGGAAAGATATGCACAATGCTGCCTGTGCTTGTACTTTCCTGGGAAGAAGCCTTTGTGATTTCAAATATGACGTCATTTTTGAGCTCGTTCCTTGCCTTGCTCCCCTCGTTTTTCAGGCATTTTTGTTGAAATTTCGTACCAATTTTATTTCGGATCGCTTAGAAACTTCCGCAAATCTCATTATCTTGACACTCACTCCGGTTGGTTCCAATGGCACTCTTCATGCCTTTGTTTGTTACTTAATCGTATAACACCACCAATAATGAAGTTTGAGGGCGCATTAGCCCTTTGTTTTTGTAGACATGTTAGATTGAGGACATTCAGTGTCACTTATGCCAGTGTATAAGAAAGTAAGGTAATGAGCGAAGTATCGGTTTGATCCCCTTTTCAACGCTCTCTTGCATTCGGTTAACAAAACACCTATGAACACCTTAGCTCGTCCACGTCCATCGTCTGGAGAATCGTCTTGATCAGCATTCCATGGCTTTTATAAGAAAGACGAATTTTTTTGTTTCGAATGTTATCTCAAGACCACCCTCAAATCTCAATATATCTCATAAATCATTTGAGCCAACATATCATGTGGTCTGTTAATGGGCTCTGTACAGCTTGATACACGTGTTTCGACCTTGAGCAACTTGATCAGTCGGATAGGCCCTTCGTATTTAGCCAATCCTCTCGGGTAAAGACGAAGGGCTTGCCCAACTGATTAGGTTGCTCAAGATCGAAACGCGTGTATCAAGCTCTACAAGAACCCATTAATGGACCACATGACATGTTGGCTCAAATATTAATTATGGGATATATTGGAGACGAAGCCTTCAAGCAGCAGTCGAAGCAACACGTGAAATATTTGATGACCTATTTAGAAGGTGAATGCGAGGGTGAGAAGTGAATTCAAGTGATGGGATCCGCACAGTAATTTTTGTGACCGATCGTGTAAAAGAAAAGGCGAAATTTTGTTGTACTCTGGATACCGGAGTAAAAACTAGTGAAGATCAAGGAGTGGAGATTTCCTGAGAGCATGCTTTGCCTACGTTTCCTCTTGTGACGGTAATAGTCGGTCAGTGCAGTAATCGTGGCCAAGTAGGCTAGAAGTATGACGTAATCGTTTGGAGCCTAGCTGGGAGTTAAGCTTGGTCACGTTTGGTCTTAAAACGAATAGCGAAGGAGCTTGTCTTTAGAAGTAAATGGTAGTGAAGAAGCAACACTTTGAGGCTCTTTGTGTCTCTCCGATTAGCTGAACCTCCGAATATTTCTAGCACACGAAGAGAACGACTGAGATGATTATAGCCTTTGCTATTGCCTGGCTGACCTACTCGATGTTCAATCGGATTACAATACAACTCAAGTGTAATGCTGTCAGGTTGGGTGCCCACGTTAAACTCGGGAAACTTCAGTTGAAATCTTATATAACGGAGTCCTTCTTCTTTTTCAAACCATTAAACTCTAGTCATTTATCCGTTATACCCTGTGATCGAAATTATTATCGAAATGTAAAATTATTTAGAAATAAAAATTCTCTGTTTCAGGCCTCAATTTATCTAATTTTGAGTGTTCTGTGTAAATAACATTTTTGTTGACATTTTTAATTGATTTTTGAGGGAGACGCTGAAGGTGCCTTTTTGAAAGCTTCGAATAAAAAGTTAAGACCATATTGACTTGTTGCCTTTGTGAAACGAATGCAAAACAAAATCCTTTTAGTGTTTATCCGATTTCGTGAGATTTGTTCTGGTCTACTTCTCTTGCGTTGTCGTACTAATTTCTACAACTATAGAGTACCCTTTCCATTGTTTGTCGCCACTAACATGACAACAAATGTTCCTAAGTGTCGAGTTTTGGGGCCGAATATTCTCGTTCTTTCTGGAGCAAACTCTCCAAATTGTGATGCTCCGTAATTTGATCTAAAAGACTAAATAGGAGTGAAAAAGCCACACGATTTCTAGGTCTCTTAACACAGTATTGGTCGTGAAACCCCCGATTTTATAGGCGCAGGCGAATGCCCGCGAAGGTGAAAGCCCAGGCAGTAAGTATTTCGCGACATGACGAGACAATAGAACACTTGATTGTGCTAGACAATACAGCAAACATCGCCTCTTTATTATGTCTACCTTGAAGTCGAATACCATTTAATATTCTACTTGGTCATCGTGTAGGAAAACTAGAGCGGGTGGTAGACGAATGTGATTCTGATAGAACTTTATAGTACAAGGAGAGACGATTCTAAGACTAAGTATGTATCAAGTTGATTTCCTTTTACCTGACGTGTACACACGTTGTTGTCTTATCTCACCTGATCATCTACTCTTTCCGACGCCTAACGACACCTACTTCGCATCTTGGTGCTTCTTTGAGAACGATTCTGATTGTCATCACAGTCGTGCAGAATTGGATTTAATCACTTTCCATTGGGAAAGAGAAAATTTGTGACGAGAAACTTTTTGAGTGGAATTCTTTCCACGCGTGCTCGCGGATATTCAAAAATAGCGTTCTCAGAAGACTCCAAATTAAGAAAAATACATTGCTCCAGAATTTAGTCGCCGCATTCTAACATTTCACTGTTTTTCTAGACGCGAAAATTCAAGTTTGACATTACTGATACGTACTTCTGGAGACTGTTTGTTATGCCAAGCTGTTATTTGGATAATTAGATGGATTATTTGGTTACTAGGACTGCCCGCTGCCACAATATATGAAAGTCTCAGCACATCTTTTATTCATCTCTTCGCCTCACGATCGTCGTCCATGATGGTGATTTATTTAGAACACGGTGACGGTTGTTAGTCTCGTACCAGGATTCGCGAAATATCGGCAGCTGAGTACAGCTGATTGATTTCATCTACAAACACGTTGAACACGTTGACCCAAAAACGTGTAATTGGTCGTGTTGGAGAACGCCTACATCCTCGCAGAGTCCACTGCATTGTTGTTTTTGTCCACGTGTCGTCCATTCTTCTTATTGTATGCCGGCCCACCAGTTTCGCCACCGATGTGTATTGTCCTGGTTTTTGAAGATGGGACAGGTTTCAAGGATCAGAACTTCGCAAAGCGGCTAGACGTTGTGAGTGCCAATTAATATTCAGAAAACTTCATTCAGGTGCTCAAGGATGGTGCGCAGATTTCCTAACATAATTGAAGTATCAGCCCACGTCTATGCCTCATAGCAAAATACTGGGAGATGTGCTGAAACAAATAGGTGAACGCGGATTTGGTTTCTTCGGTAGTCGGTAGCTTCTTTGAAAAGCCCAATGCGGCTCATGCTGCTTTCATGTCGATGGTGTATGAACTGGATGGTCTCGAATAATAGAAAACTACTCAGTTTTAGCTGCTCACCTTCGCATCATGTATTCTTCATCGACTGCGTCGTCGTATTTATGCCTATGAAGTCAATTCCTTTCTTCTTTCTTAGCGGCTGTTTTTG